ACAAGCAGCCGTATATTCATTTTCTACGGCTTATCAACCTTTTTGAAGGTTATTTAAAGCCAGAAAATATTTTTAGATTTTAAGAATTTTTGTTTTTGTTTTGGAGATGATAATCGCTAACTGATAGAAATCTTACTAATTAACTCATATCCACCTCGGATTCACACATTTCCCAAAAGTATTTATGGATAAGGAAATATAGTAAGAATAGGAAACCGGCTCTCCGATTAACAATTCTGAGCCATGTTCAATTACACCTGCCGCACATCCAACCTTACAGCACCTGGTTGCAAGAAAATAACTTCATTTAATTCCGATGAATTAATAGTGTCATTATTCGGTCACCTAAGGATTGTTCTGGTTTCTCTAGCCTTCTGATAAATTGTCTATTCCATCATAGGAAATAACCGTTATATTTGAGTTTCACAGCGTGACAACTTATGTTCCTTTCAATTTTACGTTCATCGAAACGTTTACTGGTCCGGAACGTTGGCGTTGTGAACCCCGTCTGGAACGTGTCGATAATTCTCGTTTTAGCAACAAAAGATGGCAAGCAACTGACTGGCTGCTGGAATTTAGTTGGCGTAGCTTTTGATGCGCTGAAATCCTCACACAAAATGTTGAAATATGCAACATTATTGCATAGAATGAGACAAATGATAGTCTGAAGATAACAGGCCAGTAAAATATGTGGCGTATCTCGGAATTGTTCATCCCAACCGCCATGATCATTTACTCCCAAGGAAACATTCTCATCCTGGAAAAGGTTGTTTTTTTTTCTGTTCTAGTGCGTCATTCAAACAAGTCAATTGCTTACCGTAGCGTTGTGTAGCAACAGCTTGTTTAGATTCCATCAGAGTTCATAATGATCAGTTCCCTTTTAATTACAAACAGAAATCTTTTTCAGGAGACACATATCTGGTTGAAATGTTAAATACTGTCCTGGATAAGTTTTTGAATTCCCATAATAAAATTTCAACCCATAAATTATGTTCCAAATTAGTCTTACAACTGATTTCCAAAAATGGAAAATAACAATCCTGTACATAATACCTCAGAGGGAAATTAACAGGAGATAACTGATAACTGACATCCATTAAACATGGCACGTGGAACTAGAACAGTCTACCCCAGTGAGCGAAATAAAGGGTTCTGTTCGACATTCCAACCACCTCAAGAAGGCCGGAGCGTACAACGGCCGAAACGTTGTAATAAATATGGCGACAAAGATGAGGACAATGGTCCGAATAATGTAAATAGTGTACACGGCTAAACGCTTAAATAATGTATAACAGTGTTATACCTTTAACACAAACGCATACAGTTTGAAAGTTGAAATCTATTTATCATATGTCTGAATTAGTCATTTATGATTTTTTTAATTAAAATAATCTAATTTAGCTTGTGGATATACATTGTCCTGAGATGGTTTCATAAATGACACCTCTTGCTGCTGACACCGTACCTTTCACATAAAATGCATATCTCTACATATACATTTTTACGACTACAATTTGTCAAGTATTTGCGTGAATGAGAATCTCAAAATATTGCGTTGCGAAGAAATAAATGACCCTGTTAGGGAAGAGCAAGAAAAAGGATGTATTTTTTTTTTTTTTTACCAGCCAAGAGGATTATTTTACAGAAGCGTTGGCGTTCTAGTTGCTCTTCAAGGAAAGAATCAAGATCGTTAGCGAAGAATTATTCGACTTGAAATCAGTTGTAATTGTAAATATCACGTAACTGTATCACGAAACACAAGTGCCTTACTGATATAAGCAGTAAGACAACTTCTCGGTACTCGGCTCAAATCTACGTTATCGAAACTTAACGATTCAATCTTCCAATTGGCTACTCAGCCACACCTTTAATTCCATCTTATTAAAAAAAAAAAAAAACTCTTCAACATTTTTGTTAAAGAATGCAATTAATTATTCTAACTTTAATCATGTAAGTGCCGACACACCCCTATTTCAAATTCAAGAATGGAATTCTCTTATTTACAAAAAATTAAGACATGAGTAATTTTTTTTTCCATCAATTATTCTACGTTGGCGAAGCAGGAGACTCACTGTATTACAGTTTGATGATAAATCTCACGACACACAAGATGTGCGCAGAGGCATACAATGCACAACAGAAAAGTATTTTTCATGTACTAAAACGTATGTGTGTAGGGGGAGAACTATGACAAAGTGAAAATGTTTTCGTGTGACTAGTTTTGTCTTTTCGGACTTCATCGGACTAAAGTAATGTTTACGTCGATGTGACTACATGTGTACACAAGGGAGTGGGGACGTTAAAGGATTTTAGATTTAAATTTACATTTTTTTAAATATATGCTTTAGATATATAGTCTAGCAGATTTCATTTAGTTTCTTTTCATTCAGGTTTCCATCGTTTTGTTATTAAATATCCCACATCGTGATAATAGATTTGCCAAGAAAAGTGAAAATTTGTAAGACATAGACGTAAATTTACTGTGTTATCTAGCGATCAAAGTACTTTCTATATATTTGCGTCTTAATAAATTGCTTTATCTTAATTAGTGTAGCATTTTTTAAAATCCAAAATGATGGCCAGACTCATTACGATGAGCAACTAATGCGCTGAGTGTGCTGTTTTGTAAAAGATCTTTTTTTTTTGTTCATAAAATCTTTTACTTAATTTCCTTGAAATTTCTATCCATTCCTCCTTACAGTTATTACACTGATCGAATCAATTCTTCCTAGTTTTAGCTTATTATTTTGTTTTGTATTAAGTCTTGTTTTAGAAGTAGTTCTAAGACATTATTTTGAGCTTGATAAATTCTTTTCAATTGGAGTTGGGAATATATATTACCTCCGCCTTTTTTAACACCCGTAGTACGTGATGCGGCAATTTAACTAGTGGCCATGTAATCACAGAATTCATTTGAATACATTTGTCGTCTGGTAACCTTGATTTTTTTTCTCTGCATTTACAATCTTTTCCAATCTCCTTACAAATTTCTACAGAATTGTTTTGTGATGAATGTAATATTTACCTATTTGCTACAAGGTATTTTTATTAGTATTTTCTAATCTTTGGTACAACAGAGGAAGATTGCACCAATCTTTCAAATCGGAAAATATCTACTATCTCTTAAAAATAAAGACAAAATATAAAAATAAGACCAAAACCTTTGTTTTAATTTGTGTTTAAATACTGATAGTTGGTGGTACTGGTGGGAAATACACAAGATCGAACATAAAACTAACATTCTAGTAATCGTTTCTGAAATAGCTATTTAATAAACTATCCTAACATCAGACCACAAATATGCAACATCCAATGAAAAGGAAAATTATCAAAATATTGATTCAAGAGTGTTGACTTGTAATCATTATCCCGTAGTGAAGAACCCTTTTTGATTATCATATATAGCCGACTTCGACACTAATATTAACACAAATACACCATTTAGCTTATCCCTATAACCATTTTAAAAAGAAAAACGAAAGAAACAATATTCAAATTAAATCAGACAGTATCTACTTCATTTAAAAAGAACGCATGTCTTTTTTCCGCTTTAAGAAAAAGAGTGCAAGATGGCGCCCTCCATATTGTCTGCTGCATATGGGAACGTTTTTCAACCGGTTGCTGATGCAAAATAATTTTAGCTGTCGTTTCCTTTATTTTTAAAAAGTCTTTCTTGAGAAACATCAGCGATGACAATGGCAACGCATTTGTAAAACATTGGGGAAGGAAAAGGAAAAACTAAAAAGCTAAAAATCAAAATCAGCTGGAATGCGATGACGCAAACTATGAACAACAAAAGAAAGGAATTGTGTATCAGGTGCACTGCACCATAAAGAGAAAAATCGTGTATATATATATATATATATATATATATATATATATATATATATATATGTGTGTGTGTGTGTGTGTGTGTGTGTGTGTGTGTGTGTGAAGGTGTTGTTACAGCATGTTCTGTAATTTGATTTCACTCTTACTGCTACAAAGAAAGAAATTTCGAGGGATAAAATAAACTTATTTTTAAGAAAAAACTTAAAAACACCGGCCGGTATAAAAAGGCTCGTGCGAATACATTTTTCCAGCATCTCTAACCAGATTTAGATGTTTAGTGAAAAGCTGCATCTTATTGACCGTGACTATATCTTCATCTTTCAAAGACTAGTTTGGAGAGATTGCTTATATTACAAGACAAAGATTTGAACGTATCTTTTCGTGGAATCAGACCATGTCTGTCACCAGCGAGTTGATTTGTTTTTTTTTACTGCTTTTCAACATTTTCTTTTAAACCGAAAAATATTTTGGATTATAAGATTATAATTTTTATGAGAGTGATTATAACATTAACAATTTCTTCAGAATAAGAATGATTTTTTTTATTTACCAGCCTATTTAATCCATATTTGGGGGAAGAAGATGAATTCAATGCTTTACCAAAGATATATGTGCCTAAGTGAATGCGACGAAACCGACTGGAATTCGAACTCGGCTCCAAGACTTATCATTCCGAAACCCTATCCATCACACCACCACCACTGGCAAGAATGCATCAAGAAAACAGATGGTTAACTGATAAATGATAGCCCAGAGCATAGCACCGTATAAATTTGGAAGTATATTTTAATTCGTCCTTTCAGGACGTAGGCGATCATAGATCTCCACAGATTCCTTTGTTTATCCATGAATTGTGATTTCCCCATTGATTTAAGTTCAGGAATTGTCTTGTAGACGAACTGCTACCCGAGGCTAGAAAGTTCAGTTCATAGCTGGAAAAAGAAATGGTTTGGTTGGTTGATTTTCTTTCGCGACATATCAACACCTCTATGAGTTATTTAATGCAGATATCTATATATTTTGAACGTAATTTTATGCCTTCAACTACAGATGTTTTGTCCGTAATTTTATACGTTCAGGATCACCGTATGTTTTATAGAGTTTATACATGATCCGTTTAGGTTTTATGTGTGTTGATATAAACTTATAACTTCAAAGTACGACCGGGTTACGGTCACATCACGTTGAAACACCAGTTCCTGTACGATCACTGAAGTTAAGCAACGTTGAGCCTAATCAGTACTTAGGTGGGTGAGCGCTTGAGAATACTCGTGCTGTAAGATTGGATGTGCGGACGACGTAATGGATAATAGCTCAGAATTGTTAATTGGAGTTCCAATTCCGGTTGCCTTTGTTATAGTCACTTACGCGGAAATAACATTTGGAAAGGTATGAATCCACCTCTTCTCCCCCAGCTGCGGGTTAATTAGTAAGACTTGTATCACTAAAACAGTATTATCTAAAAAAATAAAATTGCGTGCAAAATATTTAGATTTCGGCATTAAATAAGAAATTGATATGCCATTTTACAAACAAGAAACAAAAAACAACCAAATTAAGTCCGACATTATGTTGACGGCTTCAGCATTTTCAAATAGTTTTCTCATGTTTGTTTCCATGAAGTATTTATGCCTTACAGGTGTTAAGTAAGTACATTCAGTTAAAACGTATTTCACCGTGAATGCAGCTTGCTATGTCCATATTAGTTTATATTCGTTTTTCAGCAAATATGAGGTATGTGTGGCCAATGTGCAACCGAGCCAACATTAATTCAGCTTTTCTTTCGTGTCTAGACACTTGCGTCCATTCTCCCAGGTTTGATTGTGCTCCACAGGAAACTGTCCCGTTGTGAATTAGAGAGTCTTAAAAAAGAAAATCAAGGCTAGACTCGTTCACGCGAATCAGGCTCACAGCTGAAATCTGTCGGTACCAAACGCTTTCTCTCAGTCCTAATCTTCATTCTGAGCTGATGCTTAAAGAATCGGATTAGATCCTGATAAGAATAACGTTCACATCGCAAGATTTCCTCCAACTGTGTCGTTCAAATCACCATTCGAGCGACAGAAACACCATCCGTCTCACCCCAGAATACGACATATTGTGCGCGATCAATGAACACTAGCTTTTTGGGAGTGATACGATCTCTCAGCACGCTAACAGTCCCATAGTGGGCGCACTCAAGGACAATGGTAGAAGGCGTGTGAAGTCATTTGCTCTAAACCAATGTCACAGAGATTGCAGTCCGGAAAATCCGCCAAGCCCCATATGAAAGACACGTCATTGAGAGAACTATTTCGAACCAATTGCCAGATCAGCGGAAACTCAGAGTTGCTGAGGTCATCCGCCGCTGGCACCAAAGACCAAAACGAGCGCAACTCATCCGCCGACAAGCCGAGCCGGCAGTGTAGAGAATCCTTCGCGACTCCTCCATTAATTCACGACAGAAGACTTTCCTAGGCCGGGAATTAGTCACTGAACCGAGGAATTACCCTCAAGGCCGATCGTCATTCAAGGAGGAAACTCGCTGATGTAAGAACTCCATTTCCTTCCTTTTAATTGGACAGGACACACAAGAGGTAAGGTGATGGTAGAATTCACCGTGATAGACTGCAGGTGGACGGCACTAGAGGTGAGGTCACGGTATAATTCATAGTGCGTTAGACCGCATACTATAGTAGTAAATGAGAGACCGAATACTGTAGTAGCATCGATTTATGAGTGTGTGGAATAATTGATTGATTTTTTTCTAATTCCTCTTAGAATATAAGTGGATGTCTACTTGTTTGATGACGTTTTCAGAGTTTTAAATTTATTTCAAGTTTTCTTATGGTCCAAGGTGGTATATTTTGTATGATTGTATTATGGATTATAGCCAGTGATATTTCCGTTTTTTTTTTAATTATGGGTTCCATCACAAACCTAAAGGTTTTATGGCTGTCTCTTTTTGTTCGAAGGGGTTGCTGTATTTCGGATCGAATTCGACATTGTATGCAGGATTAGAAGCATTTGATTTTTTTGCGTTATATAGTATGTATTTGTCCCGTCTAAGTTTTGGTAGAGGTTCATTTGCTTATACATACAAACTTTCTACAAGAGATGTTCTAAATGCTCCAAGCGCCAATCTCAAACCTTCATGGTTGGTTGGGTTAAGTATTTTGAGCTATGATTTCATTGCTGATTCGTATATGAAGTTTCCATAGTCCAGCTTGGATCGAATTAATATCCTGTACAATTTGGGAAGTGTTTGCAGGTTTCCTCCCCAGTTTTTGTGGGTTACTACTCTGAAGAGTTGAAATGTTTTATTGCATTTTATTCTCAGATATTTTAGATGTGGTATGAAAATTAGTTTTTGTTGAGAATTATTCCCAAGAACTTGTATTCGTCTACCATTGGGATTTCTATCCCTTCGAGTTGCAATCTTGGATTATTATACAGTTCCTTTTTATTACAAAGAAAAAGGACGTCCCAGCGTTTGGATTCGAGAATAAAACAACACTTACTCCCCAGGATTTTGAATCCGGCTACCAGGAAGAGCCAATTAACCAATACTTCTGGCTCTGCTCTTCCTGAGCATGTAATAAATAGCAGGAAATGTGTGGTCGATTGTAGTGCAGACCGTTTTTCGATTTTATCTCGGCCCCACTCCACATTTCACCTCAAGGTCCTAGAGTCCTTGTATATCAGATCCCGTGGGTTGTCTTTTGTAAACTTACTGGGTCTGAATGTCATTGACATTAGTTTCTTGAAATTCATATTTTTTTCCATTCCATTTGTTAATTTAATTTACACGCTTTTGTTTTTTATTCCCCAAAAAATGAACTTGATAAGTCCTGGGCCGAAAGCGGTTGTTTCTTTTTTTTTGGGGGGGGGGTTAAAAAAGCCATATAAATTTTGCCTTTTCCTAGCTATTATTACAAAAATGCATCCATTTTTTTTTCTATTTTTAAAATCTAAAACCGTTATTTATTGCCCATCTGTTGACCTTATTTATGCATTGCTGCAAATCCCTTTCCAGGGTATTGCATATTTTTGGATCGGCAACTTACAGTAAAGTCATCTCCATACAAAGATCCACTTATATATTGAATGCGTTCTTTTGCAATATTTATTTTAATACTGAACAGGTTGACTGACAATATCTTCCCTTGTGGTACTCATTAGATTTTAGGATCGGATAGAATAGATGCGGATCTGAAACGTTAGAATTGAAAGAAAATTCTTAATGAATTCAGGTAGCCTACCTTTCAGTCCGAGGTTATGTAGAGCTCACATGAACCCATATTTCCAGGTAATTTCGTAAGCCTGTTCCAAGTCAACGAATACAGTAGCCACGTGATCTTTTCTTACAAATGCTTCACTTAAAGCTTTCCAAGTGACCCAGGTGATGCATTGTACTTCTATTTTTGCGAAAGCTACATTGTAAGTCAGTCATAAATTTGGTAGCCTCCAAGTACCAAACAAAGCAATTATTCACCATTCTCTCCAAGATTTTACGTAAACAGCTTGTAAAAGAAATCTGTCTATAATTTCTCTGGATTGTCTTTTCCCAGTTTAGGAATCAGTAGGACAGTGGTTTGTCAGCATAGTTCGAGGAACTTGTCCTTTGTTCAGATATCATTTTTTAATAACAATTTTAATGAATGATTTGGCACTTATTTTAAGAACTCATTGTGAACATCATTCGGTCGTTCGGCCGAATTACGCAAACTTTTAATATTCTTCTAATTCAGTCCGCGAGAAAGGAGTATTGGAATATTCCATGTTCTTTGTTTTGAAGTTTAATTTGTATTTTTCTACGTTTTGCTTTATATTTTGAGATTGTTTTTTTTTACAATTTTTTTGAAGATTTTTTGAGGTTTCGAATAATGTTTTTATAGCCTTTTTTGCTACTTATCGTGCTATAAAATATTGAGAGATGTTTTACTGGTATACGTTTATGCTTGCCGGCTATTTTCATCATATCTCAAACTGTTTTTTGGTTTTCTATTCGAATTCAGCTTGCCGATATTTTTTCCAGCTGTTCTTTTTGGCTTCTTTTATTACTTTACAGGTTTTTGCTCTTTTTAGTTTACAACAGTTGTTGGATCCTTGTTAAATTTTCGAAGCGCTGCTTTACGCATTCTTATTACCTCTTTACATCCATCATCGAACCAGGGTCTGTTTCTTCTGCTTGGTGTTGTGGTTTTTTAGGATTCATTCCTTTGTTACGGCTATTAAGGATTCCGTGAAAATTTCAGCCGTTTCTATATTAGTTTGAATTCATTCGCTTTAGCCTCCACCTGGGTGGGTTCTCATCGATCACCTCGCTGTTCCTCAGGATGATGTGTAAATGATCGCTACTTCATCTATCATTGTAAACACTTCAGATAAAGTTCAGGTAAATTGCTGGATCACATATGGCGAGGTCACTTGCTGACAGGCTTCCAGTTGCTGGATCGACGCGTGTCGCTGCTCCCTGGTTGAGCTCATTAGCCATAATGTTTTTTCCATAAGTTTCCCTTTTTTGTTTGTCCCCTTGGATCCTCAGATGGTATCGTGGCTATTAAAAGACCCTCGGGGAATGAAGGCTTTGGGTCATTATTTTATCAGATCTTTCAGCTTATCTTGTTCTATCTGGTCATGACAGGGAACATACAGATATCATATGAGACTGTTCTGTGTAAAGCATCTGCCTGTAATTCTGTTTTCAGTTCAGTTTTGCTCTGCGGTACGTCAGTTTTTATTAAGACGGTGACTCCTCCAGAGATCCTGAGGCCAGAACTGAATATGACTGTACTCTTCTACTCTTTAATATTAACATTATCTTATTTTAGAAATGTTTCTTGGATACAAATAACCGCAACATACAATGCTGTTATTATCACAAGTAATTCAGTATAATTTGACTTTAGTTCATGGCAGTTTCTTTATAGTATTTTATATCCTGTTTGTATTTTTATTTGAGTTTTACACTTTTTAAAAATGTTTTTGTTCGAAACATTTTGATGTCGTATCATCCATCTTGTATCCCGAGTTAATTTTTCGTGGATGTCAGAAGTCAATTTTTTTTTTTTTTTGGTGGTTGGTCATGTTTTTTTTGGAGTGGGGGGGGCGGCTTTCCAGAGATGTCTATTTCGAGATTTGGTGGACGGATTGGCGATCTTGGTCTCTTTCTTGTTTTGTTTGCTTTAGGTTGAGAGTGTATTTTGTACAGGCGGTACCTGAGCCACAATATGTAGATTTGAAATGAGTTCTTGCAATTTATTTACGATTTCTGTTTGGGAGCTTTCAGACGTGCATA